CTCAGATATGGTAAACATGGGGAAATTAAATCTTCATCAGAGTACAAAAAAAAATTCTGGCCAAAAAATAGAGCGAAACACCAACGTCAAAGCCCCCTGGGAGTGATTATGCGGAGGATCTCACCTTAAAGGACCATAACATTGTATCAATCGCATCTGCTAGAAAAATGACAGGATGGGTAATGAGAACCTCAAAACTAGGGAGGCCAAGCCCATGATGACACTCTTAGGTCACTTGTTCTATCTAGGCTGGAATATTGCTGCACTCTAACAGCACCTTTCAAGGCAGGGGAAATTGCCGACCTAGAAAATGTACAGAGAAAATTTCACGGCGCGCATAACGGAGATAAAACACTTCAATTACTGGGGGCGCTTGAGGTTTCTAAACCTGTATTCCCCGGAACGCAGGGGGGGAGAGATACATGATTATATACACCTGGAAAATCCTAGAGGGACTAGTACCGAACTTGCACACGAAATCACTCACTACGAAAGCAAAAGACTTGGCAGACGATGCACCATCCCCCCAATGAAAAGCAGGGGGGTCACTAGCACGTTAAGAGACCATACAATAAGTGTCAGGGGCCCGAGACTGTTTTAAATGCCTCCCAGCACACATAAGGGGGATTACCAAAAAGACCCCCGGGAGTTTCAGCTGGCACTGGACAAGCACCTAAAGTTCAGTTCCTGATCAGCCGGGCTGTGGCTCGTACGTTGGTTTGCGTGCAGCCAGCAGCAACAGCCTGGTTGATCAGGCGCTGATCCACCAGGAGGCCTGGTCACAGACCGGCCGCGGGGGCGTTGACCCCCGAAACTCTCTCCAGGTAAACTCCAGGTACATGTACAAGGTATACAGACCATAGCTGACATCAATGACATACTACTATATAGAAAGTCCCTTGTTGTATATCTTATTATTATTCTATAATGGAGATACTATTAAGACTATCTACTGCACGAGGGTCATTAAGACTATCTACTGCACGAGGGTCATTAAGACTATCTACTGCACGAGGGTCATTAAGACTACTGCACGAGGGTCATTAAGACTATCTACTGCACGAGGGTCATTAAGACTATCTACTGCACGAGGGTCATTAAGACTATCTACTGCACGAGGGTCATTAAGACTATCTACTACACGAGGGTCATTAAGACTATCTACTGCACGAGGGTCATTAAGACTATCTACTGCACGAGGGTCATTAAGACTATCTACTGCACGAGGGTCATTAAGACTATCTACTGCACGAGGGTCATTAAGACTATCTACTGCACGAGGGTCATTAAGACTACTGCACGAGGGTCATTAAGACTATCTACTGCACGAGAGTCATTAAGACTATCTACTGCACGAGGGTCATTAAGACTATCTACTGCACGAGGGTCATTAAGACTATCTACTGCACGAGGGTCATTAAGACTATCTACTGCACGAGGGTCATTAAGACTATCTACTGCACGAGGGTCATTAAGACTATCTACTGCACGAGGGTCATTAAGACTACTGCACGAGGGTCATTAAGACTATCTACTGCACGAGAGTCATTAAGACTATCTACTGCACGAGAGTCATTAACACTATCAACAATACGAGGGTCATTATTAGGAATAAGGTAAATTTACACGTATGTTAGCTAAAAAATAAAAAAATCATTCCCCTCCCTTTCTGTAGCTACATTCATCAGACACATTTTGGCACTCTTCTTGAACTGGATTTGACATGTGCAGGCAGCCTGTTCCATTTCTTTATTGCTGTACAATAAAAGGTGTTTGACGCCTGGCCACTGACTGTGGGTACTACAAAGTTGTGCTCTCTCCCCCCAGTACTATGATTGCTTTGGTTCCCAACCTTGTCAAAATTGACATCAAGATATTCTGGACACTGTTCGTGAGCAATTTTATAAACATGATTTAGCTTCAGTTGTTTTACTCTGTCTTCAACATTCAGCATATCCAACTGCTGTAATTCATCCTGGCCTACATGTTCTCTTGGTCCCAGGTCCAGGATGAATCTTACGATTTTGTTCTGGTCGCGTCCTGGGGGACAACATTGAGGACCACAATGTAAGTAAGACAGACAGTCCTCGATGACGCACTGACTTTCTTGGGTTATCCTGGGTGGCTAACCCTCTTGGGTTAAAAATCCGAACGAAGTCATTGCTTATCTTATCTTAAAGATATTATTTTTTTTTCAACTCCCCTCGTTGTTGCTTTGCGTCGTTTTCTGTGTTACGACTCTTTAAAGAAAATGGTTATTTGGGTAAACATCAAGGGTAAACAAAAGTAAATTATTTATAATTTTTATTGTCCTAAGGATTAAAAAAATAAATAGAAATTAAAATGTTTATTTCTTTGCTAAGGTTACAACGTGTGTTTACATATCATAACATGATTGGTGCAAAGAAAGCCACTATCATGCAGAGGAATTTCGGGCAGATTTGAGTTCCTTGCTACAAATACTGCTATCCTCATGACCTTTTCTGCTGTTTCTTCACTTAACCTATCTTCTGACTTTTCTAGTCACTTGATGTGTGGCTTGGTGGCTAAAGCTCTCGCTTCATACAGTGAGTATCCGGGTTCGATTCCCGGGGAGGGTAGAAACATTGGGCATGTTTCTTTACACCAGTTGTCTATGTTCCCCATTAGTAAAATGGGTACCTGGGTGTTAGTGGACTGGTGTGGGTCGCATCCTGGGTGTTAGTGGACTGGTGTGGGTCGCATCCTGGAACAGAATTGACCTAATTTGCGGGAAATGCAGAGCATAACAAGCGACTTTCTATTACCTGGAGTTTACCTGGAGAGAGTTTCGGGGGTCAACGCCCCCGCGGCCCGGTCTGTGACCAGGCCTCCTGGTGGATCAGCGCCTGATCAACCAGGCTGTTGCTGCTGGCTGCACGCAAACCAACGTACGAGCCACAGCCCGGCTGATCAGGAACTGACTTTAGGTGCTTGTCCAGTGCCAGCTTATATAGTAGTAGTATAGTAGTATAGTAGTATGTCATTGATATCAGCTATGGTCTGTATACCTTGTACATGTACTGGTAGAAATAAAGGGAAAACAGTGCCGGAGATCCTATATATAGCTAATCTCTCAAGCAGAATCGTGTCATGACTCCTCGACCACCTGGTCAATGGCCCGGTCCATGACCAAGTGGCCCAGTCCATGCCCAAGTGGCCCGGTCCATGACCAAGCCTCATGATAGATCAGGGCCTGATCAACCAGGCTGTTTCTGCTGGTTGCATGAAAATCGATGTATGAACCACAGCCCGGCTGGTAAGGTACTGACTTTAGGTGCCTGTCCAGCAGCTTCTTGAAGACAGTCAGGGGTCTATTAGTAATCCCCCTTATGTATGCCGGAAGGCAGTTGAACAACCTTGTGGCCTTTGACACTTATTGTGTTGTCTCTTAGTGTACCCATGGCGTCCCTGCTTTTCACTGGGGGGATGTTCCATCTCCTGCCAAGTCTTTTGCTTTCATAGGAAGTAATTTCTATGTGTAGATTTGGGACTAGTTCCGCTAGGATTTTCCAAGTGTGTATTATAATGTATCTTTCTCGCCTGCATTCCACTGAGTACAAGTCAAGGGACTTCAACCGTTTCCAGTAATTTAGGTGCTTTATTGTACTTATATGTGCAATGAAAGTTCTTTGACTACCACCACAGGCACTGTTTAGAATCTTCTCTTATTCCCACTGCCGATACCATTACTCAAAATTGTGGCAGTTTTATGTTTTTAGTTTCCCTAGCTAGGCTCAGCTTGTACCACCTGACCTTGCACCTATTTTTATTTTTTTTATTATAACACTGGCCTATTCCCACCAAGGCAGGGTGGCCCGAAAAAGAAAAACTTTCACCATCATTCACTCCATCACTGTCTTGCCAGAAGGGTGCTTTACACTACAGTTTTTAAACTGCAACATTAACACCCCTCCTTCAGAGTGCAGGCACTGTACTTCCCATCTCTAGGACTCAAGTCCGGCCTGCCGGTTTCCCTGAACCCCTTCATAAATGTTACTTTGCTCACACTCCAACAGCACGTCAAGTATTAAAAACCATTTGTCTCCATTCACTCCTATCAAACACGCTCACGCATGCCTGCTGGAAGTCCAAGCCCCTCGCACACAAAACCTCCTTTACCCCCTCCCTCCAACCTTTCCTAGGCCGACTGATACACTCTTGAAGTCACTCTGTTTCGCTCCATTCTCTCTACATGTCCGAACCACCTCAACAACCCTTCCTCAGCCCTCTGGACAACAGTTTTGGTGATCCCGCACCTCCTTCTAACTTCCAAACTACGAATTCTCTGCATTATATTCACACCACACATTGCCCGCAGACATGACATCTCCACTGCCTCCAGCCTTCTCCTCGCTGCAACATTCATCACCCACGCTTCACACCTATATAAGAGCGTTGGTAAAACTATACTCTCATACATTCCCCTCTTTGCCTCCAAGGACAAAGTTCTTTGTCTCCACAGACTCCTAAGTGCACCACTCACCCTTTTCCCCTCATCAATTCTATGATTCACCTCATCTTTCATAGACCCGTCCGCTGACACGTCCACTCCCAAATATCTGAATACATTCACCTCCTCCATACTCTCTCCCTCCAATCTGATATCCAATCTTTCATCACCTAATCTTTTTGTTATCCTCATAACCTTGCACCTATATATACTCCATATACATTATTTGTCTGGACTGATAAAGTCTCTGGTAGGTGAAACATCAACCTAATGAATATCTTAATACTGTTTTAGTGTCTTAAATGTTTGTCATTATTAAATATCGTGACTCAGTTGGCAACACATACCTGGAAACATTCAGTCTTTTTTCCTTATATCTATTGCTAATGCTCACTTAGTAAGTAGGTACCTGGCTGTTAATCGACTGGTGTGAGTCGCATCCTGGGTGGAAGTATACCTTAGGTCTGGGTTTTGAAATGGACTGAGTTAGGATAACAGCTCTTAGTATTCGGAATTGCATTGTGTAGAGGGAAAAAGAAAATATCATATGAGTGTTTATGTGTATTTGGAAGTGTTCCTTGAGATGATTAATATAAATGTTTATGTCCACAGGTGGTAGTGGTGGTGGTGGACGATGTTCGGGGTAGCCGGACGCCATGCGAGGCGTCGCACCAGCTCGGCGTCGCTGCTGTCGTCATCGTCGTCGCTGCTCCCCGCCTCTCGCTCCCCATCTCGTCTGGCATCTCCGGCTGCCAGGAGGAACACCAGTGCCTCCCTGACGTCCCTGAGCAGGTCACCAGCTCCCCTGGGGGTGATGCCATCTCCTGCTCTCTCTCCAGGGGCCTCTGTCTCAGGGACCTCCCCAGGGCGCACTCCTGGCAGGTCCCCTTCACGCTCACCAGGAAGATCCTCAGTGGGGTCCATAGAGGGAGCTTCCAGTCTACTAGCCAGACGGCACTCGTCTCTGGCCTCAGATGGCCATGGAGTTCTCATGGAGGAAGACGAAGACGAGGAGGGAGAGGGGGAAAAAAAGACTAAGCTTGAAAAGACTTCAGATGACGAAGATGAAGTAGACAAATCTGATAATGATGATAATTTAGAGGAGGAGGATGATAGGAGTGATGGTGAAGGGGCAGTGAGAAGACATTCAGAGCGGAGTGGCAGCAAGACGTTAGATGTTACAGGATTACCTGGCGGTGCGGAAGGTGAAGGCCCCAGTGGAATGAAGAAACAAGTGAGGCTGAGTCTGCCCAATGGGCCCTATGTGGCACGCTACCCAGTGCTCACGTCGCCCTCACCTCTCACAGGTGCTGGCTACTTCCGAAGGAGAACAGCAGTCACCCTCAGCGACCACAAGACCTGTGCTCTCGTACAGTCCAACATGAAGATGGGGCTCGGAGAACTCATGTGAGTACTCATTGGTTTTTTCTTCTGCATGCTGCAAATCGACTCTGTGAGGGTTAACCTCACAGAGTCGATTTGCCAGTCACAGGACAGAGGTATAGGCCTCTATCACTCCTTGAAGTGAATCTTGACTGTACTCTGTGTACTTCACGACCATATTGGAATATGCAACACCAGTATGGAACCCATTCCTGGTCAAACATGTCAAGAAATTAGAGAAAGTGCAAAGGTTTGCAACAAGACAAGTCCCAGAGCTAAGGGGGTCTTTCTTACGAGGAGAGGTTAAGAGAAATCAGCCTGATGACACTAAAGGACAGGAGGGATAGGGGGGACATGATAACACAAAATACTGAGAGGAATTGACAAGGTGGATAGAAACAGGATGTTTCAGAGATAGGACAGAGCAACAAGGGATCACAACTGGAAGTTGAAAACTCAGATGAGTGACAGGGATGTTAGGAAGTATTTCTTCAGTCATAGAGTTGTCAGGAAGTGGAACAATCTAGAAAATGATGTAGTGGAGGCAGGATCCATACATAGCTTTAAGAAGAGATACGATAAAGCTCATGGAACAGGGGGAGAGAGAGAGAGAGAGTAGACCTAGTAGCGACCAGCAAAGAGGTGAGTGCAGATATACTAGACCGGTCCAAAAATACATGTTAATTTTAAAACTTCAAAGGAAGTGCGCTCCACAATGTAATTTTTATTTCACTATACGAACCTGTACTATTTACCAAAATTTGGACCATTTCATGCATATTTAAAGGTTGCGCAAAACTTCAACTTTGGTTTCTCTATCGCAGATGGCGTCCTCAGCACTGAGTACATGAAGTGCATTGAAATGGTGGTTAGTAGGGTGTCCCCTTGAGTTTTTCTCAACTGCCCGACTTTCGACACGAGGTGACATACTTCGCATGTCACAGTTCTTTCACCTGAAGTAGAACCCACTCTCACTTTTCGTTGTCTTAATCTACGTCCAGTTCTGGGACAAGGCTCTGCGTGGCGTGCAAGCCTCTCGCAATAACTTGGACTTCCTCCAAACCCTTCGAGTGTATCCGGACAAAGAGATCGTAAATGCTGCTGCCATCACCTTTGCACGTCATCTTTGGTATCTGCGGAGCACCTGGTTGGATTAGCGCTCTTTGACGAGAAAGTGGACATTGCAACAAAGCGCAAGATGGTGGCCAACCTTAAGCGGGAAAAGAAACCAGGGTGTCCCTGTCGCTTGCAAGGTGTCCCAGAGATCGGAGTCGGACTGGAGGAGTTTGTGACTAAGAGGACGCTGAAGATATTTAGCGTCATTGCTGAGCAGAGGAAGGGGAAGGAAAAATCTTTCTTCGTGAAGGAAGACCCGAAACGTGGGAGATGAACACAACGCTCCTGGAAATGAAGAAATCTGTGGGCTCTTTGAAGGTCGTGAACGATGCAGCAGAAAGAGCTGTTTCCCTCGTTCAGACCTTCAACACGTCGCTGACCAAGGACGAGGAACAGACACAGTACCTTCTTTGCCTCGTGGCGGATCACCGTCGCCGCTTCCCTGCTCCGACCAAGGAGAGACTAATGAAGGAGGGTGATTGCTTAATTTTAGAGCGACAGATTGAAGTCCCACTTTATTTCATCGTTCAAGTAGGTAAGAAGAAGCATTATTGCGAGCAAGTGAAGGCAGTGGGCGGAGCGACGTCTTACTGGCAGTTGGTGTGACAAATGAGAGAGCTGACACAACCCGACCCGACATGACCAGAGGCTTTTGAGAGGCTAATAACTTTTTCCCTTATAAGCTGAGACCTAATTCAGTTTGAATTGTAGTTCAGAAATAAATTATGCTTTTAAACTGTTTTTTTCGCTAAAATTCTATGGAGGCACCCCCCCCCCCCCCCGAAAACCCCAGGTATTTGGGGGATTTTGAAAAAACGATGTTTCTTCAACTTGAAAGCGAATTGCTTGAGTTTTCTGTTGGACACATTTTTTTTTAGGGAATTTTGAAAAAAGAGGGGAAAAATACGTTTAAGAATTAAAAAACTTTTTTTCAACTTTTAAAGGGGGGAAATCGCTGGGAAAATACCCATTTTTCAGTGTTTTTTAATTTAAATACAAAAGTCCAGTGGTTAGTAAAGGTCGATAAAAATTTACGATTTAACCCCAAGAATTCCGGAACACTCGTTATTTAAATTATATTCCCCTCTTCAATGTATAAAAAACCTCACTGTTTCTTGCTCAAACCCCCCAAAAAACATAATTATTCCTCATTCGCTTCAAGAAAATTGGGAAAATATGCTATGCGAAACAAAAACCAAAAATTAAAATGTTTTTCATTTTCGGGTGTGGGCGAGAACCCCTTTTTACGCGACCCCTAAAATTGAACAAAATTTCCTAAAAAATTGGTCAGAATGTTCTTAGGAAAAATGTGGAAAATAAAACTTATCTAGGCAAACAATTTCACAACTTTAATTTTTTGGCGGGGTTTAATTAACATTATACATAAAACTAAGAAAAAAAAAGAATACTGCAGCGGGCCCCTATGCCCAGGCGGGGCGGGTTCAAGTTCCTCCCGGGCTTAACCCAATTTACCCAACTTTATGGCTGAGCAAATTTTTTAAAAATTTATTTTATCTCAGGTCTTTTTTTGTGAGGTTCAGTATCTATCCCCGGCTGGTTTGTAAGGTTCAGAATTACTTATCTAGGCTTGGTTTGGGTTCAAATTACTTATCCGGGGTTTTTTTGGGGGTTCGAATTATCACTCAGGTTTTGGGTTGTGGGGTTCAAAATTATCTTACTCAGTCTTTTTTGTGAGGTTCAGAATTATCTTATCTCAGGTCTTGGTTTGATTTCAGAATTTTCTTATTCGGGTCTTGGTTTAAAGGTTCAGATTATCTTTCTCAGGTTTGGTTGTGGGGTTTCAAAAATTATCTTATCTCGGGCTTGGGTTGTGAGGTTCAAATTTTTTAAAACTCGGGTTTTGGTTTTGTGAGGTTCAGAATTTTTTATCTCGGGCTTGGTTGGGGGTTCAAAAATTATTTATCTCGGGTCTGGTTTGTGAGGTTCAAAAATTATTTTATCTCAGGTCTTGGTTTGTGAGTAAAAAATTATTTTACTCAGGTTTTGGGTTTGGGTTCAGAATTATCTTTTTCCATCGGGTTGTAGGTTCAAAATTATCGTATCTCATTTTTGTTGTGAATCAGAATTATCTTATCTAGGTTTTGGGTTGTGAACAAATTATTTCCCTCGGTTGTGGGGTTTCAAATTTAATCTTACCTCAGGTTGTGAGGATCAGAAAAATCTTACCTCATTGTGAGATCAAATTTTCTACCTCAGGTTGTGGGTTTCAGAATTATTTTCCTCAGTTGTGAGGATCAATTATCTTACCTAGGTTGTGGGGATCAGAATAACTTACCTCAGGTGTGAGGATCAAATTTATTTTTCCCCTGGGTTGTGGGGATCAGAAAAAACTTACCTCGGGTTGTGGGGATCAAATTTATCTTACCTCGGGTTTGTGGGGTTCAAAATACTTACCTCAGGTTGTAGGTTCAAAATCTTACCTCGGGTTTTTGGGAGTCAAATTTTCTAACCTCAGGTGTGAGGATCAGAATTATCTTCCCTCGGTTGTGGGGATCAGAATTTCTTCCCTCGGGGTTTGAATCAAAATTTATCTTACCTCGGGTTGTAGGATCAAATTATCTTACCCCCGGTTGTGAGGATCAGAATTATCTTACCTCAGGTTGTGAGGTTCAGAATTATCTTACCTCAGGTTGTGAGGTTCAGAATTATCTTACCTCAGGTTGTGAGGATCAGAATTATCTTACCCAGGTTTTGTGAGGACAGAATTATTTACCTCAGGTTTGGGGGATCAAATTATTTTTCCTCATTTGTGAGGATCAGAATTATCTTCCCCAGATTTTGAGGATCAGAATTTTTACCTCAGGTTGTGAGGTTCAAAAATTATCTTATCTAGGTTGGAGGTTCAGAATTATCTTACCTGGTTGTGGGTTCAAAATTATTTTACCCAGGTTTGGGATCAAAATATCTTATCAGGTTGTGAGGATCAGAATTATCTTACCTCGGTTGTGAGGATCAAATTATTTACCCGGTTGTGGGGATCAAATTATCTTCCCTCAGGTTGTGAGGACAAAAATTACTACCTCAGGTTTGGGGTCAAATTATTATCTCGGGTTGTGAGGTTCAAAATTTAAATCTTACCTCATTGGGGGGGGTTCGAATTATTTTACCTCGGGTTGTGAGGTTCAAAATTACTACTCAGGTTGTGAGGTTCGAATTTCTTACCTGGGTTGTAGTTCAAAATTTTATTTTACCTCAGTTGTGAATCAAATTACTTACCTCAGGTTTGAAAAACAAATTACTTACCCTCGGGTTGTGGGATCAAATTATTTACCTCGGGTTGTAGGATCAAAATTTACTTACTCAGGTTGTGGGGATCAAAATTATCTTCCCCTCAGGTTGTGATTCAGAATTATCTTATCTCGGGTTGTGAGTTCAAAATTACTTACCTCAGGTTGTGGGGATCAAAATTATCTTCCCAGTTGTGAGGATCAAATTATCTTACCCGGTTGTGAGGTTCAAATTATCTTACCCCGGGGGGAGGTTCAAAATTATTTCCCTCGGGTTGTGAGTTCAAATACTTACCTGGTTGTGAGGTTAAAATTTTCTTACCTAGGTTGGAGGTTCGAATTATTTTCCCTCAGGTTGTGGGGTTTTCAAATTATCTTACCCGGTTTGAGGTTTCAAAATTATCTTACCTAGTTGTGAGGTCAGAATTTCTTCCCTGGTTTTTGTGAGGACAGTTATCTTCCCTCGGGTTTGTGGGGTTCAAATTACTCCTCGGGTTGTGAGGATCAAATTATCTTACCTCGGGTTGTGGGGATAGATTACTTACCTCAGTTTGGGCAGAATTACTTACCTCAGGTTGGGGGTTTCAGAATATTTTACCCCCCGGTTGTGAGGATCAAATTATCTTCCTCGGTTGTGAGGTTCAGTTTCTTACCTCAGGT